CATCACGTTTCCGACTTCCGGAAAGTCAGCGATTGCATCACAAATCTGACGAAGGTTGACGGGATCAGCCGAAAATTTATGGTGAGTTCTCCTTATTGTGTTGGAACAAGTCAAACTCTTTAACTATGTATTCTACCAACACAGATGAGCTTTCATTCGAACATATGCACATGTTTGCATGTCAAATGATATTTTACGACATGTATAAACACGTTCTATTGCAAATATATGTAGGCAACAAATGACAGGTTTCTATCGAAAGTTTCATAAAAATTAACAATAATATAATAAGGAACATCGAGCTTAATATAGCTCGTTTGGGTTTCTGTGGGGCAAACGGAGGGAGTTCCCCAGTGGCGATCATCAGCAAAAATGTTGTTTCCTCTTTCAAACAAGTTCAAATCACGGTCTTCCTCTGAATGTCGATGGTATCATGTTCAGGAGCATGACGTACACTATACTACCAGGAACTAGTACCAGGGACGGAAGTGTCTTGAGCGATAATGATAACTAAACGGATGCACAACTGACTGCATCTTAGTCTCTACCAGACTAACTACGCTGCCTACATGTATATAGGAGAATAATTGCCAGGGGAGTTTGGCCGCCTTGTAGGTTTGACCGGCCGCGGTCGGACTCCCTTGGCCAATTTTACTCTCTTTTTTGCCGAAATCTACGATCCGTACGCGTATTCCCGTAGAAAGGCCTGGTGGAGGCTACATCTGACTAACGTGCGTGTTTCGAAATTCGAAATGCTCTCTCCTGGTGCCCAATCTATCGCTGTAATTATGGCAGGTTCTCTTCGGGGATGCAGGAGCTTTCGCCGCCCCACTCCGGTAGGTTCCCCCTGGCTTCCCCGGCAGGTTTTGGGCGACGGAAGTTCTATAATAGCCCTACTACGATTGTGGTGAGACTGATCAACTCCTGGCGTACAAAACTCCATTGGCAAAGTTTCAACCCACCATCATACCGCCGGAAAAGCCCCTGTCACACCCCACCAACGGCCATGGTTAAGAGTAGATCGGGAGCCAGGTCGGCTGGTGTTCGGCTCCGCACTTGCTCGTGTTGAGAGTAGGTAAGCAGTGGTTAGGCCGTGGTTGTCCTGGTTGACTCAAATTTAACCCAAATTTGTTTGTATTCGTGTCGAAAGGTAGGCGTGGCCTAAATCTGGTCAGACTGATCCCGAAATGCAGCCATCCTTGGTTGGCTGGTCGGTCGGACGGTTGGTTATGGTCGGGGAAAGCTTATGAATATGTGACAGGGGCTTTAATAATCTACTTGTAATTAAATGCAGGGTTGTCACTTTTTGTTGATTTGTCGACGTCATTATATAGATATGTTATGTTCCGGTATATGTGCGCACTGCGCACTAAGATGACGTATATAGAGTGCAAACATGTCTATTGTTTTGTTAAATAGCACACAGTGCGCTACATTAGCTTTCTGTCAAACAGTAAGCCCCTGTCAATGCGTCACAGTCGAGCAAAGAACATACACCGATATGTACGTTGGCAGTGCAGAATCAGATCATCACTAAGAAAACATATTTGTTCAGAGAAAAATCAACAGGTGTGTAGAGTGATCGACATCACATGTCGTGGTCTAGTCTCCACCAGACTCCTTTTCAGGCTGAATAGAGAGTAGAAATCGGTTTAAGATAATACAGCTGCCCAGGGGAGTTTGCACGTGCAGGCAAACTGGACCCTCTATCACCGGCCAACTCCCCTGGCCAGCTACATTCTTTTTATGTAGGCCTATTTCTACTATTTATTCAGCCTGCAAAGGAGTCTGGTGGTCCACGTTTCGCGCATGTGTTCCTATCCTTATACTAGTATCTATAGCTAAACATATTGTAGCCCATCATTTGATGTGTATTTGTAACCCAAGAAGTGTTACCCGACGCAAAGGATCACCGAGTAAAGTGTAATGACTTTTTAAAAGTAACGTTACATTAGCGTCATCTACCGATTATTCCGTGCGCTACACCCCACTACGTGCACGGTCGTGGCTTCATGATCTAAAATAAAGGCATCCAGTGCAGTTTCTAGGGCTTGGAAACCCGATTTTTAGCCTAATATTCTATCCATTTATCCACATACTGAGTTGAACCACATTGTCCCATATTGACCCTCAGGG